AGCACTCTACTTGTTACATACCAGAAATATGAAATTCACACAGGTGAACTATACTCCAGGTACCTAACTGTAGTCTTTTCTTACTTGCCTAATGAAGTCTCCTCCACATGGAACAACTGTTCCATTTACATCTGCCTGCCTAAATCTTAACCATACTTTTTAAAGATTTTTATTTATTTGACAGACAGAGATCACAAGTAGACAGAGAGCCAAGCAGAGAGAGAAGGGAGGTGGGGAAGCAGGCTCCCTGCCAAGCAGAGAGCCCGATGTGGGGCTCGATCCCAGGACCCTGGGATCACGACCCGAGCCGAAGGCAGAGGCTTTAACCCACTGAGCCAGGAAGGCGCCCCAAATGGGTATTATTTTAACGAACATTTCTTTTTCTGCAACTTCTCCAAATAAATTTATAGTTTCAACAACAATTGCTCTATACATTCTTAGTATTTGTGACCCCTCAAAATCTGTAGGTTGAAACCTACAATTCTCCAATGTGTTCATATTTAGAGGTGGAGCCTTTGGAAGATGATTAGGTCACAAGGGCAGAGCTCATAGGAATGGCATTTGTGCCCTTACAAAAGAGACCCTGAAGGGCACCTGGGTGGCTCAGTTGATTAAGCATCTGCCTTTGGCTCAGGTCATGATCCCAAGGTCCTGGGATCAAGCCTGCATCAGGCTCCCTGCTCAGCGGGAAGCCTACATCTCCCTCTCCCACTCCCCCTGCTTGTATTCACTCTGTCAAATAAATAAAGGAAATTGTTGTTTTTTTTTTTTTTAAAGAGATGGAGCTTGAGAGATCTCCCTTGCTCCTTTGGCCCTGTGAGGACACACTTACAAGATTGCCACCTAAGAGTTAGGAGTAGGCTCTCACTGAATAGAAAATCTATGGCACCACTTACCAACCTCCAGAACTATAAGGTAAATGACTGTTGTTTATAACTCACCCCGTGTTTGGTATCTAACAGCCTGAACAGACTGGGTCACTAATCTTTACAAAAATGCCAGTATATGAGAGTATAAATTAGTATAACACATAGGAAAACCAATGGCCTTATATACTGAATTGGTATATAGGCATACCTTATGAAATCCCAATTCCATTGATCAGTGAGATGCTTGCACTGCAATGTAAGAATGCTTACATACAGAAAAGAGTTAATACAGCAGGTTTAAAACTGATAATCTAAAAAAAGGGTGCTTATAAGACTGGGTCACTGGCTGGCACCTATGAACTCGGCTGACAAACAGTTTCCCATATGGATATAAAAGCATCCCTAACCAAAAAGTTAGAAGTATCCCAGGGATGCAACAGAAGACGAATGGACAAGCAAAATATGGCACTTGCACGCAATGGAGTATTTTCAGCCATAAGAAAGTAGAAACATCTGACAAACACTACAACATGGATGAAACTTTTTTTTAAAAGATTTTATTTATTCGTCAGAGAGAAACAGACAGCACAAGCAGGGAGAAAACAGAGGGAGAAGCAGACTCCCCTAACAGACTCCCCGATGAGCAGAAAGCTCGATTCGGGACTCTATCTCAGGACTCTGGGATCAGGATCAGGACCTGGGCCGAAGGCAGCCGCTTAAATGACTGAGCCACCCAGGTGCCCCAACATGGATGAACCCTGAGGACACTATGCTTGGTGAAGTAAGTCAGCTATAAAAAGACAAATACTGGGACGCCTGGGTGGCTCAGTTGGTTAAGCAGCTGCCTTCGGCTCAGGTCATGATCCCAGCATCCTGGGATCGAGTCCCACATCGGGCTCCTTGCTCTGTGGGGAGCCTGCTTCTCCCTCTGCCTCTGCCTGCCATTCTGTCTGCCTGTGCTCGCTCGCTCTCTCTCTCTCATAAATAAATTTTAAAAAAAATCTTAAAAAAAAAAAAGACAAATACTGTATGATTCTACTTAAATGAGGTATCTAGAGTAGTCAAGTATAATGATGGCTATTGGGAACTAAGGAGGAAAGAATAGGGAGTTATTATTTAATGGCATGAAGTTTCAGTTTTGTTTGATTAAGAGTTCTTGAGGTGGATAGTAGTGATGGTTGCACAAACATGGATACACTCATATCACTGAATTGCACACTTAAAAATGGGTAAGTTGGTAAAATTTTTTACATGGATTTTTACCACCTACTAATGACACCATGAGAAAAATAACCCAAGCATGGCCATTTAAAGTAGATAACTGGCTACGCCTACATATAAATACTTCTGTACTAAATTTTTTTATTTTTGCAAATGAGGTCTATCTTTTTTGTTTTTTAAAGATTTATTTATTTGAGAGAGTGAAAATGAGAGAGATCACAGAGGGAGCGGGAGAAGCAGGCTCTCCAATGAGCAGAGGGCCCAATGCAAAACTCTAACCCAGAACCCTAGGATTATGACCTGAACTGAAAGCAGCTGCTTAACCAACTGAGCCACACAGGTGCCCTTATCATTTTTTCCTTCTACTCTTAAATTACCTTCAACCATAGGCTCACTTAAAGTAATCTGTTGTTAGAATGGTATGACATTCTGATGTGTAAGACTTTGCTTCCAATTACGTTCAAACTCACTTTGATAGTTAAGTCCAAGTTTGTTACTCTAGATTCATTAGTGTAAAATTGGACCAGAAACAATTTTTCCCCCAAAACAAAACAAAAAACCAACCCCCCCCCCCAAAAAAAAGCTTTCCTAACTGATAAAGGTGGCTGACTGTGCAGAGACTGTTTTAGCAAACAATGTGGTTTCTGCTGAATACGGATTTTCCTTCTGGAAATCTGAAATTTCAGTAGGTGCTGGCAAACAGTGCCTATGTACCCAGATACTAGTAAAAACCTTGGACACTAAGTCTCTAATAGGTTTCCCTAGGCAAAAACATCACACATATGTTGCTGCATTTTCATTGCTGGGGGAAGAATGAGCTGTGTGATCATTCATTTAAGAGAAAAAGCATAAGGAAGCCTGCAGATAGATTTCTCCAGATTCCATCAGTATGGAATCTCCTTTATGGATTCCCGGATCTCCTTTATAATCCAGCTGTGTAACTTTATGCGTACATAATGTAATAAATATTAGTTGTGAGTACAACTATATGCTAAGTCCTATGAATTCATTTAACAAATCTCAGAACCTGAATGGTTCTGAGGTCCTAACACTGTATCAAAACTCAAACTCCAATGTGCATCAAGAGCACAAAGTACAAACTGTGGCATATTCCTGTAATAAAATACCTATGAAAATGAACAACCTCAGCTCTAAAATACAAAAGGGATCGAATCTGAAATGATGAAAAAGTAATTTATTGTATTTTGCCTTGTATGAAAGTTGTCTCTTCTAAACTAAGACTGAGAAATCTTTTAAGGTGACAGTTCTCTTTATTTTTAAGGTTTTTTTTTTTTTTTTTTAAGATTTTATTTATTTGACACAGAGAGACAGCACAAGCAGGGGGAGTGGAAGCAAGAGAGGGAGAAGCAGGCCTCCCACTGAGCAGGGAACCCAATCCCAGGACACTGGGATCATGACCTGAGCCAAAGGCATATACTTAACTGACTGAGCCACCCAGGCGCCCCCAAGGTTAGCAGTTCTTCGACTTCTAAACCTCAGACTCCCTCTAATTCATGTGGGTTATATATATCAGTAATCCCAATATTAAAAATTTAAAGTTGAGTACTTGAAAACTATCTTTTACTAACCCATTTCAAAATAATTTTATTTTTGCAAAAATGTAGTAAGAACGGCACTGTCATTACAGTTTTGCAAGTCTTTTTAATATCTAGGTTATGAAAAGACACCTGCGTTCTCCCATTTACTTCTGCATTTAATCCACTGAATCAACCTATATTATGCAGCTTCTAGAAAATTCCACGATATGCTCAAGATAAAGTAAGAATGAAAAGACAAGTAACATCTTAGTACTATTACTTTATTTTTTTAGGTAGGCTGCATGCCCAGTGAGGAGCCCAATGCAGGGCGCGATCAAGAGTCAGATGCTTAACTGACTGTGCACCAGGTTGATCCACATCTTAGTATTATTATGAAAATAAGGGCACCTGGGTGGCACAGTTGGTTGAGCATCTGACTCTCAGTTTTGGCTCAGGTCCTGATCTCAAGGTCGTGAAATTGAGCCCTACACTGGGTTTTGAGATCAGCAGAGTCTTCTTCAGATTTTCCCTCTCTCTCCCTCTGTCCCTCTCACTCAGGCGCTCTAAAATAAATAAATCAATCTTAAAAAAAGAGTGGGGGGAAGAAAATAATTTTGACCTCCTGGACTTCCTGGAGAGATCTGGGGAAATCCCAGGAGTCCCTGATTACACTGAGAACTACAACGTTAAGGCTTAGTACTGTGACTTGTAAAGGTCAACATGCACCACCACAGGGTACTTTTTCAAGAGGTATATCTTGAAGAATTCAATTTACAAAAATACTGAACTGTCAGTACTTTCCTTATATACACTAAGAGTCAAACCCCACCCAGATGTCTATGTTAGAACATCATTACCTCACTCACTATAGAAAGAAAAATTATGTGTACACTGAAAATTCTAGAGAAAAGTCCATTTGCATGAGGAGCTGAAGAATGTCATCCCTTTGATACTATTTAGACTATGAGACTTATAATTTTACAAATTACTGTTCTGAAAATTAAACTCCCTGCTTTTCTTTTCTCTTAGGTTTGGAAACAATATGCTGGACCCTGAATATATGCCAAATATATTAAGTTACAAAATCTTGTATTAACTTGGTTGAACCTCAGTGGCCTGTTGAAACTCAGTCTTTAGACAACTTCAAAGCTACTTATTGGAATTAAATCAACACCTTAAGAAATAAGGTAAACATTCTAGATTTGTTTCTTGAATAAACACTGTTATCCATAATTGAAACCCACAGTTCTATACTTCCATACAAGTTACATAACTGTATTAGTCTGTAGATATTGCCATGTTGCTACAGGTTTGCTAGCTGGGGATCAGAGCCACATACTTAAGTAGCTGTGGACAGCAACACTATACTTACCACCAGTGCTAGAACAAGAGTCCGCACCTTCTCCCCAATCTCAGGCGAGATGTCATTGCCAAACTGTTGCAGAGTGGTAAGGAAGCGTTTCAATTTGCTGAGCTGCCGAGCACCACAAGTGGCTGGCAATTGTTGATTTGTTAGTGCAGATGATGTGGAAGAGGCAGGACCATTGCTGAATCTCTGCGGTGGTGATGGGGCACCATTCAGGGTAGGAGGAGAATGGTTGATGCCATTGCTTACTATAAAAGAAAGCCAAAATGAAAGACTGTGTAAGTGCAAATCACATGGACCTTTGTGAATTTCTTCTTGTTTGCATTAACTGTCCTTTACTCACCTGAATTTTGTAAAGCACATATTAAGAGTATATTAAGAAACTGTTTCTGCCTTTAATGAGACGACTACATAGTGAGACAGAGGACTACCAGGCAAAAAAATGGTAACAGAATAACAAAACGTGTTAAAATAGAAGAGTATGAAGTGTTTTAAGAATACAGAGAATGGATATCTAACTATAGTTGCTATGGGCAGGGGTAAATAGCGTTAAGATTTCCTGCAACAGGTATTGCATGAGATGGATCTGGTAGAACACATTATCTCCATTGACTGGATACATACACACATCTTTTATGTTGCATCTCCTTCCTACTCTTAGGGTTCCAAAGAAGTTAAGGAGTCAGTTACATTGTACATTACAATACATGCTACACTGTCAGTTACAATGTAGCATGCAAACAGACACCAGAGTTCTGTTTAAGTGAAAAATGTGGTGTGTGTTTGTTTGTTTTTAGAGAAACGGTTTTCTAGGCTATAGATTTAATGACCTATTCCTGCACTGAGATATGTATTTCATGGACCATTCAGAATACTCAAGCCCAGCAGTTTCTCTGTGCCAAATTCTTGGTCACTCAATAAAGCATGTTACAGCCACTACACAGGACACCGACATTCCATTTTCCCACTGTTCTCAGTCATTTGTTGCTAGATTTTAATTTGGAACACCACCTTAAAGCTAAATTCTTGGAGGTATTAAGTAAATTTCTCCTTCACTAACAGTGAAATAAAATCACCTGGTGCCTAAGTGTCAGCAGATTTTCACTTAATCATATACAGGCTTGAAAGTCTAGAAGGTAAAACTACAACATTTTATCTAAAAACAAAAACAATTTAAGTCAAGACTTAAGCCAAATTTAAAGAGCCCAATTATTTAATCTTTACCCAACTTAGAACTGACATTTACACTTATATTGGGCTCAATGCCAAGTCTTTAATCATGAAAAATCTTCCACTTCCCTTCTTCCTCCATGCCAGTCATAGTTGGTCAGCCAGCCCTACTGCTCCTACTTTTTAACTGACCCTGATTCAAATTTGATCTGGCAAACTCTTCCTCATGTTATGTATGCTCAGAGATCACCTGTATTAAGAAATATTCTTGAGCACCTGGGTGGTTCAGTTGCTTAATTAAGGGTGTGCCTTCAGCTCAGGTCATAATCCCAGGGTCCTGGGATTATCATTATCATTATCCTCATCCGAGGGTCCCACATCAGACTCCCTGTTCTGCAGGGAGTCTGCTTCTCCCTCTCCTTCCCCACCCCCTACCCGGCTCATGCTCTCTCTCAAAAAAATAAATAAAATCTTAAAAGAGAGAGAGAGAGAGAGAGAGAGAGAGAGAAAGAAACATTCTTTAACAGCTTCTGTTGCTGCACATTAAGGTAAACCCTGGTAGATTTTTTAACTCTTCTCTGTGTTACCTATAGATGCTTCCACTATGTTATTATCTCTCTCTATATTTGCACTGTCTTAACAGTCTGTGTACTTCTTGATGAATACTGTGTTATAAATCTGTATATAGTGTAATTAGTCAAGTTTTGTAAACTGCCTATGCCATATATATATGGGTTTTGTTCATGAGCTAGCGAAGTATAAGTGTTGAGGGAAAAAATGCTGAATGATCCACTTCATGAAACAACAGGCTAAGAAAGCGAGGTTACATTTTCTTCTTTACCTTCCATTAAGCGAGATCACTAGAACTAGTGGAAGGGAAAGCTTAACGCTCAACCTCAGCAATCCAGAAAATTAGTTGCAATGATCTGTTATTTCTCTGTGTTCACAGAAAGGTCAAGTGCCATTGAAGAACTGCCCCCTTGAAAGAAACCCGTAAAAATAATACATGACTGTGCTTTTTAGCCACTCTGACAATCAGACAGGCTTTTCAGTCTCTTTTGTTCAAGTGTATGAGCACATTTTCCAAAATAAAACAGATCTACCACCAAGCAGTCAAATATGGAGGTTAAAAAGGGCTGAGTTTACATATACATATTCCTACTGTCTGTTATTTTGAAATGTGAATGGGAGTCTAGGTTTAACTGTTTATTTCAAGACAGTAACTTTATCTAAGGACGTAAAACTTAAAGACATAAATACAATTTTTTTTAATAGTTTTTTTTTTTTTTTTTTTGACAGAGATCACAAGTAGGCAGTGTGGCAGGCAGAGAGAGAGGAGGAAGCAGGCTCCCTGCTGAGCAGAGAGCCTGATATGGGGCTCGATCCCAGGACCCTGGGACCATGACCTGAGCCGAAGGCAGAGGCTTTAACCCACTGAGCAACCCAGGCGCCCCCTAAATAGAATTTTTAAAAGGATATAAAACTTTATTTCATTCTCTCTGGCTCAGACTGCTGCAGTTGCTACTCACTCAATTTCAAATGTTTTGGAAATGTAATAATCAAAGATTCTGTTAAAGCTGTACTCCCTAGATTCTTGTCTTTTAAAATAACAAAAGCAAACCCCACAAATGTGTGAGCAAAAATAATTGTGTAAACTTACGTAACAGCATTTAAAAAAGAAAATGCATACAGCACCTAGCACAGTACTCTGACGCACTGTGGGCACTCCACAAATAGCAAGTGTCTTCTGCTTTATGAGGCAAAATATCTGTAACAGAGTCATGAGGCACTGGAGGTATGGGCATGGAAAGGCAGAAAAACTCAGATTAAAATCGAGACATGTATATACGTATGTTTAGATTCTACACTGGGTTTTCTTCTGATTTTTGTTTGTTTAAGTATACACATGTGTAGGACTAACTGTGCAGTTAAAGGGTTTCTGAAGATTCAACTTTGTTAAATACTACCAAATAATTTTCTCATACTCAAACAATGTATGAAGTGTTCAGGTAATGCCACATATGCTCACCAAAACTTGGTATTTTTCTATTTTGAACATTCTTTCAGATGAAGACAGTATTATATTGGGTTTTAGTTTGCATTTCCTTGATGACTAGTAAAGCTGAACATCTATTATGCATTTACTGGTTAATATAATTCTTATGGACCCAATTATGTCCCCCACAAATTCCTATGTTGTAGTTCTAAGCCCCAGTGACTGTATTTGGATACAAGAGTTTTTAAAGGTTAAACGAGGTCATGTGGGTGGTCCCTGATCCAGTATGACTATTGTCCTTATAAGACGAGGAAAGGACAGCTGGTATACATGTGCAGAGGCAAGGCCATGGGAAGACACAGTAGAAGTGTAGCTATCTGCAAGCCAAGGAGAGAGGCCTCAGAAGAAATCAAGCCTACTGACACCTTGATCTTGGACTTCTTGACTCCAGAACTGTGAAAAAAATAAATTTCTATTGTTTAAGCCATCCAGTCTATGGTATTTTGTTATGGCAACCCCGGCAAACTTAACACAATACTCATTCTCTTTTGTAAAGAGCCTTACCAGGGCACCTGGGTGGCTCAGTTGGTTAAGCCTCTGACTCTTCATTTTGGCAAAGGTCATATTCTCAGGGTTGTGAGGTCAAGCCCTATGCTGGGCACGGAGCCGTCTTAAGATTCTCTCTCTCCCTCTCCCTCTGTCCATCCCCTCCTGTCCCCTCCCTTAAAAATTAAAGAAAAAAAAAAAAGCCTTACCATGATAGCCCAAGCATACTTTTAGAAGTTGTTTGGTAATTATATGAAAGTTACTTTGACTCCTATAAATCAATATAATAATTTGTTTTTTCAAGTAGGCTATTGGGGCCTGAACTCACCAATGTGAGATCAAGACCTGAGTAGAAATTAAGAGTCAGAAACTTAACCAACTGAGCCACATAGGCACCTCTCAATATAATAATTTAAATTCATTTTAGAGCCAAGAAATTAAAATAGCTACATACCAGCCAAAGTATGAAAACAATATTTAGATCACTAAATTTCTAAATGCCTAAATTAGCGAAGCACTGTTCTCAGAGGGCAAAAGCAAATTTATAAAATAACCATATGTGTATGTCTATGTACATGTGTGTTTATATATATAAAGTATCTTATTTTTTTTTTAATGATTTTATTTATTTGAGAGAGAGAGAAAAAGAGTAAGAGAGAGCACGAGAGGGGAGAAGGTCAGAGGGAGAAGCAGACTCCCCGCGGAGCTGGGAGCCTGATGCAGGACTCGATCCCGGGACTCTGGTATCATGACCTGAGCCGAAGGTAGTGGCTTAACCAGGTGCCCTATATAAAATATCTTAACATTTATTTTGAAAATGTTGAATAGTATACACAGAAGGCTTAACAGCAAACAGTCACTTAGATCTAAATGTCAGTCTGAACCACAAACCCAAGTACATGAAGAGATCTCACATGCTGTAGGAGTAAATGACACTGGCCTGGGTCCTCCAGGATTTACTGGTGGCAGGGGTGGCATGGTGGGAGGTGAGGATCTTGACTGTATCTTCACTTCCACAGGAGATCCAGGCATTGCTGGCACTCTTTTCTCAGGACCAACTACAGAGAATAAAAGTAATGGAGGTCAGAGTCTTCTATAAGATAATAAAAAACGTGACAATAATTTCAAATATAAACATTTTCCTAGAGACTGAGAAGTGAAGATGATGCTTATTTTAACAGGCTGAATGGTAGCCCACACAAGGTATCAACTGTAGTTCCCTTTTAGCCAAGTTTCACTTTCCACACTTCCAGTTATCTGCAGTCATGGCAACCATGGTCTGGAAACAGACGCGTCTCCTTCTGATGTACAGTCAGAAGGTCAACGGCAGCCTAACACTAGGCCATAACGCCTATGTCATATCACACAGGCATTTTATTATCTCACACCATCACAATAAGAAGGGTAAGTGTGGTACAATAAGACACTGTGAATAGAGGGAGAGAGACAATGAAAGAGAAACAACATTCACATAACTTTTATTACACTGCATTGTTACAACTGTCCTATTTTATTATTACTTACTGTTGTTAACCTTAACCTCTTACTGTGCCTAATTTATAAATTAAGCTTTATTACAAGTATATAGGAAAAAATAGAATATATATATATATGATTTGGTACTATCTGCAGTTTCAGCTATCCCCTGGGATCTTAGAATGTATCCCCTATGGATAAGGGATGGGGGTGGGGGTCTACTATACCTCTTAATCCTTTCAACTGGGAATATTTGCTTATTTGGAAAAAGGGTCTTTGAAGATGTACTTAAGGATCTTGAGAAGAAAAGAGCATGTAGGTGGGCTCTAAATCCATTATGAACAAATGCTCACAAGAAGAGTTGAAAAGAAACATTCACAGGGGAAGACTACCCAAAAGAAGACATGGCTGCACAATGAGAATGCAACGGGACAATGATGGCAGAGACCGGAGCGGTACCATCTATAAAGCCAAGAAATGTCAAGTACTATTAGCAACCACCAGAAGCTCGGGGACAGGTATGGACTAGATTTTTCCTCAGAGGTTCCAAGGAGGAATCAACTCTACTTACACCCTGACTGTGGCCTTCTGGCCTCCTGAAAAGTGAGAGATTATTGTTGTCTTAAACTACCGAATTTGTGGAACTTTATTATGGTAATCAAAGGAAACGAAAACAAGCCAGCAAGGTCAAGGGGTAACATGACCTAAAAGTTAATATTGAGGATAGTAGCTGAGAAAGGAAGAAACCAGGTTACAAGATCAGCTAATGTCAGCTGCATTCTTTTTTTACTTCTCTTTATAAATCAATCAAATTAACGGGGGTGGGTGGGGGAACGAGGGTCTATCTAGGCCAGTAGGATTCAATGGCATGGCTATGGAAATAGAATTATAATCAGTTATATATAAATAAATGATAAAGTACTAAATTTTTACATATATCAACTACAGTAAGTAGGGGAAAAAAGATGGAGTCAACATCCTTGACAATAGTAATGTAAATATCATTTATGATAAATAGTTATCTCAAAAGATGAAAAGTAGAGCTGAACCTAAACTAGGCACAAGCTACTTCACCATGGGGACAATTGATAAGCAGCTATTTGATTAACAGTGGACAAGAAATTTAAGAAAGAGAAATCACACAGATTAGACTTAATGACATTATAAATAGGTTTGGGCTGGAGTACCTGGGTGGCTCAGTGGGTTAAAGCCTCTGCCTTCGACTCAGGTCATGATCTCAGGGTCCTGGGATCGAGCCCCGTGCTCAGCGGGGAGCCTGCTTCCCCCCCCTCTCTCTGCCTGCCTCTCTGTGTACCTGTGATCTCTCGCTCTCTGTCAAATAAATAAATAAAATCTTAAAAAAAAAAAAGCATCCAACTTCTGATCTCAGCTCAGGTCTTGATCTCAGGGTTGGGGATTTAAGCGCTGCACTGAGCTTTTTTAAACAAAAAAAAGGTCTCTGGGGCGCCTGGGTGGCTCAGGGTTAAGCCTCTGTCTTCAACTCAGGTCATGATCACGGTCCTGGGATCGAGCCCCGCATCAGACTCTCTGCTCAGCAGGGAGCCATCCCCCTCTCTCTGCCTGCCTCTCTGCCTACTTGTGATCTCTCTCTCTCTGTCAAATAAATAAATAAGTAAAATCTTAAAAAAAAAAAAAATAGTCTAAGCTAGTTCTCAATAGGACCTGGTACTGAGGCATGATATTCTAATACCTTCACGGTTGTTTTTTCCCCACTAAAGAGAACATGTTACATATGTGGTTAATAATTGGGCCAGGGTCACCATAATCACCTTTAAATTGAACTATGTTCCTAACAGTTAACTCCAAGCCTTTCACTTAAGTACTATGAATTTATTCTCCAATAACGATGAATTCAAAGCACAAGAAATGGACACACCAAAGGTTCAAATGAGAATGTTAAACAAAGATTTCTTTCTTTCTGTGAGATCACAGCTATAGACAAAATACATTCATGACACTGTCAACAAGGCACATCTTCACACATTCATAAGCATGTTCTAATGAGGAAAATATCACTAAATATTATTTTTATGTTTCAGTTTGCAGTGGCATATTTTGGGAAGAGATATAATGAATCCATAAAGTCCATCAAGGAAGTAATGCCCTAAAGTTACAAAACCCCTAACAAAATGTGCAACTGTCTGAGAGCCATGTGGGCAACACTCTGCCAGCTCTTCCCATCTCTCCGTCCAGGACATTTTCTTTGTGAAATTGATGGTCGTCCTGTCTGATTAGTGGACTAATGAGCTGTTGCGTTTGCCTTTTTCTTCTTGACAGTATTTTTCTCAATGCCCTTCAAAGAATGGTTGACACGTTTCCAGCTCTTCCATCTGGGGCCCAGCTTTCTGGAGGGTGGGGGTAAAAGGGAAGGAAGGAACTGACAGTTGTCTCGCACTATAATGTGTTGTGTACAGTGTGCAACAACCTAGAGGGAGCCTTTCTTCAGACCACCTGCCTTTACAGCAAGGGCGCCAAAGGCCTGAGGAGGACTTAACAACAAGATGTGTTTTAACATTCAGCACTTGGCAGAATGAAAAACAGAGAGGAGCCTGAGCCCAACTGCAGAACACTGAATTATATACCAACTGAAAGCTTGGATACGGGGCAAAACCCAGCCCCCGGAGTACTGTTTACAGATGAAAACTACCCGTATCTCTTGTTCACATCACTACTCACAAACCTGCAATGCTAGTGTAATTCCTCATGTTTTAGTAACATCGTCTAATATAAAAAGCATGGGTCTGGAGACTGAAGATACCTAGTGTGAATTCTTATTTATAAACAACATGGCTTTATCAAATCATTTCACATTTCTGGGTCATTTTCAACAAATGTAAAGTAAGAGATAGTAAATCTGACCTGGTAGGAAAGATGTAAGGGTAAGAGATAATGCCTAGACTAGTGCTGAGTTAAAGATAAGGTACGCAGAAAAGAAAAATGATTAGAAAATAGGCAGCCTAGCGTCAAGTTCTGCATTTCACACCTAACTAGACATCGGACCATGTCCAAGTTAATATTAACAGTTGATTTCCATGGAAAAAGGGTATACTATTAACAGTTAATCTATCTAACCTCAGCAATATTACATGGAATGAAACAGCTGCAGAAGCATCAGGTACAATGTTAAGGTGGTATTTTGTTGGAGGCTGGGTGGCATGAGGCCCTTCGTGATGTGAGAGATATATCTAAGTGGTTTATAAACCTGACAAAGTCAACAGCTGCTCAGAAAGTGGATAAGAGGTATGTTACAAACTAGGCACCCTGTGCTTGGTGACGGGTGTCATGCCCATATGTCATCACTGTTACAGTGACTTCATTTCTACATTTTTATGGAATGGATACTAGTATTTTATATTCTAAATTTTTATTTATTTATTTATTTTAATTTGTCAGAGAGAGAGAGAGAGAGAGAGAGAGTGAGCACAGGCAGACAGAGAGGCAGGCAGAGTCAGAGGGAGAAGCAGGCTCCCTGCCGAGCAAGGGGCCCGATGTGGGACTCGATCCCAGGACGCTGGGATCATGACCCGAACCGAAGGCAGCTGCTTAACCAACTGAGCCATCCAGGCGTCCCTAGTATTTTATATTCTAAATGAATTCCTTAAATAAACCAACCATACCTTGAGCTTTTTTCAATTCCAGAGAACCTTAGATACTCTTCAAAGACAAGAAATTCCTTTCTCTCAAGGGTGTCTTTGAGCCCATAAATACCACTACTTGGATTATCAAACAGAAATAAGGTCTTCAAAACTAGAACCTCATAATAATCTTTAGTTCTGTCGTAAAGGTTCAACTTGATTCTAAACATAGATTTGGGGGTGCCTGGGTGGTTGAGTGTCTGCCTTCGGCTGGGGTCATGATCCTGGGGTCTTGGAACCAGGCCCCAGATCAGGCTCCCTGCTCAGTGGGGAGCCTACTTCTCCCTCTCTTGCTCCCACTGCTTACGCTCTTTCACTCTCTCTCTCTGTCAAATAAACAAAATCCTAAAAAAAAACAACAAAACAAAACACCACAGATTTTAAGATTTAAAGTAACTAGTAATTTAGTCACTCATGAGTTTGTGCTTTGGTTATTTTGAAGATTTGCATATATATGGCTTAAAAAAATAAAATCCGAACATATGACCACATGCATATCCAAGATCACTGATGCTTTAACACCTAACCCTGTAGAAACAAACAATTTGAGCTAGAGAGGAGGAGCAAACATGGAAAAGTATGTCTGAATAATGTTTACTTCTTCATCATGCAATATGCTATGCAGATCATGAAAACACAAAACCAATGAAAAACAGAACACAGTAACAAACAGCTCTCTGTGTGACAGCAGTGCTTCTTTTCTCCCCACACAGGAATGTGAACAATCAGACGTGAAACTACGAAGTGGAAGTCTTCTGTAGCTCTAAGAGAAAAAATACTGAACATAAACATAAATCCCAGACAAACATTAGACGAATCCCACATGCTAAGCAGCCCACAAATGAGAGCATTTACAAATCTTTATAAACTGCCTTTGAAGTTTTAAAAAATTACTTTGAGGCTGACAATGGAACTATAAATAGAAA